TCTGGGTTCCTGCCTGTGGACCCCGTGGTCTGGGACGGGCCCTGGACCTTGAGACAGAACATAATACACATTTGGGGGAGTCACCCTTCAGGCACCAGCTCCTGGAGGAACAAGAAGAATGGGCTGTCCTGGGGTTAGAGGCACTTGGGGAAGGAGGGGGCAGGAGTGGGGAGGAGGGGAAGGAGCTGACCTCCTCTCCCGCCCCAGCCCCTAATCTCTGCCAGGGCCCTGGCTCCCTCTGGGCTCTGTCTCACCAAGTCCTGCCTGAGAACCCCCAGAGGCTCAGGCCCCCGTCCGGAGTGGGGTCTCTCTCCTGGAGCCAGAGTTGGGGTGCCGGGCCCAGCAGAGGTGAGCCACACGATCTTAACTCTGGCTTCTCCACCACAGTGACGGGACCTGCATGGTGGGGATGGGGTGGTGGTGGGGGGGTGACGTGTCCCAGCCAGGCCTGAATCAGGTCCTGGCGCACAGTCGGCTCTCAATAAATGTGGAGTGGCCACTAAGCTCAGTGCTGTGCTCTGAGCCCCCAGACTCCCAGGCCCTCCTGCCCTCTGCATGGTCTGGCTGAAGTATGGTAGCAACCAGACTTAGGTGAAAACTGCTGTTTGAATTTTAACCCTGCTATTCTGGCTTCGGCGCTCGCTTACTTGCTTAAACAATAGGGCAGTTGCCTCAGCTTCCAGACTGAGACCTGGAGGCCGAGGCAGTTTCCCTGTGCCTGTGGAGCAGGACCACAGGAGATTGATTCTCACGGACTCAGCAGCTCCAGGAATTGAAACTACAGATAACCTTTAGAGATTAACTGCTCAGCTCTGCTTCTCTACTTTCTGCTTTCTCAAGATAGGTCCACATTCCAACGTCCAGCAGGATGTGGCTGGGAACAGCCCGCAGGGTCGTTCCCAGCCTTTAGAATTTAGAATTCAGAGAAAAGGAAAATGTTTGTGGTTTAGACCTTTAAAAGGACTGCTTACACTTGGCGCGGTCGTGAGTGTGGACTCCATCTGCGGGTGGTGGTCTCGCGGCCGTCCTGGCCAGTTCAATAAATCCTTGCCTGCTTCTTTTTTTTTAAAAATCAATTAGCAGCCTCCAGTGGTCTTATTTTTTTTTTATTTTTTAAATATTTTTATTGGTTTTTCACAGAGAGGAAGAGAGAGAGAGATAGAGAGTTAGAAACATCGATGAGAGAGAATCATCAATCAGCTGCCTCTTGCACACCCCCTATTGGGGATGTGCCCGCAACCAAGGTACATGCCCTAGACTGGAATTGAACCCGGGACCTTTCAGTCTGCAGGCTGACGCTCTATCCACTGAGCCAAACCGGTCCTGGCTGGTGGTCTTATTTTTGACTCCAGGGTTCGACCCCACAACACGGACCACACCTGCTCAGGTGGTGTGCCCCGTGGACTCTGAGGCTCACCCCGGGCCTGCATATGACTTGACCCACCTCTGTGTCCCCGGGCCCCTAGCACGAAGCTGACGTAGCAGATGCTCAGAAATGACCTGCTGATGGACGAGGGCTTAACACACAGAATCCCCCGTTAGCTTTACCCTAAACTCCTGTCCTCCAGAGCCTTGTCTGAGTTGTTATGGAGTCCACGGAAGACGGGTGGAAATGTGTTATTCCCCACGACCGTTACCACAGTGTCCATCTCTCCTCATGCTTTCAAGACCTTCAACATTTGCATAGGTTGCTGAAACCGGTTTGGCTCAGTGGATAGAGCATCGGCCTGCGGACTGAAAGGTCCCAGGTTCGATGCCGGTCAAGGGCATGTACCTTGGTTGCAGGCACATCCCCAGTAGGGGGCGTGCAAGAGGCAGCTGATCGATGACTCTCTCATCGATGTTTCTAACTCTCTACTCTGTATCTCTCTCCCTTCCTCTCTGTAAAAAAATCAATAAAATATATTAAAAAAAAAACACAAAAAACATTTGCAATACGTGAAACACCAGTCTTACTTGGAAAGATCTGGATGCTAAGCCAAAAGTAAGCCCTTGCCCTGATCCCATCCTCACGTCGCTGTCAATGGTGTGATTGTGTCCTTGGAGGTTTTGGGCTGTGCATTTACATATAACTTTGCTTTTTACGTAAAGCGAAAAGGCATTCCCTCAGGTGTGCGTGCGGCTGGGCCTGGCGGGATGACGCACACAGTGACACACTCCCTGTGACAGGAGGTGGCTCAGCTCTGCTCCCCTCGCCAGGGCAGTTGTTTTCATTGCTCCGAGGTCTCAGGGAGGCCGTTCAGCCTCGGCCTGAGCGGGGGCAGAGTCCTGAGACCTGTGCTGAGGGAGCGTGTCCAGCCCGGGTTTAGAATCACGACCTGTGACTCTACAAGGGGCCTGGTTTTGGTTACTACTTCATGGAGCTGATGGCAAAGCAAGGAAGCCACGCGCTATTATGTTCCTTGCAGGCTCTTGGATGGAGAGCCTGCAGGGGGTGGGTTTAGGTGAGATGGGTGGGGCATCCTTCCCTGGCCCCTGGCCCACCTCCCACTCCAGGGCCCTAGTGTGAGGGGCTCGGCCAACCAAGATTTAGGTGCAGATCGCTTCTAGAACCGCCCCCTCATCCCCCGACTTGCACTCCCCACCCCGCCCCAGGCTAGAGTAGAGTTAGGTTTCTGTGCTTGTCACCAAGCACCCTGACTGCTATGGTGTAAACATATGTGTAGGAAACTGATCGGTAATCGATACTCTCTACTGGCATAAAGCAGAGCGGCTGCCTCCGCCGCCTGGGTTTGTGAGGAGATTTGTGGGGTGGAGGTTGGGGGGATGAACACATCCCCGTATTGACGCGGTGAAGCCACGGTGTGCACACGGGCAGAGAGCACTGGACGGCGCATGAAGCGGGTGCCTGGATGTTAAGTCAGACCGCAGTGAAGCCCGTCAGAAACCCTTTGAAGACATGTCTGCGCGGGGAAGCCTGCGGGGTTGCCAGGAAACGTCGCTGGCATTCCGACGCCCTGAGCCGAGTTTTCCATGAGCCCTCGCGGGTGAACTGTGCCCCGCTGTTTCCGCCGAGCCCCTCCGGGCTGCTCTCCAGCCCCTCGGGCTCCAAACGTGCTCTTCTGCTCTCCCGCTCGGCTGTCCTGCCGGGCGCTGGCACAGCCGTGGCCAGGTCCGCCCGCGTGGGGGGCATATCTCCCGGACCTGGCTTCTCCCCACGCACGGGCGGCGGGGCCAGAACGGCACCATCTGTCCAGCCTGCCTTGGGCCCGAAGCCCGTGGCTCCCGGGAAGGAGTCCTCTGGGCCGAAGATCTTGGGTTTTAAAATTCTGGCATTCTGCCCTAGCCGGTTCGGCTCAGTGGATAGAGCGTCGGCTTGCGGACTGAAAGGTCCCAGGTTCGATTCCGGTCAAGGGCATGCAGCTTGGTTGCAGGCACATCCCCAGTGGGGGGTGTTCAGGAGGCAGCTAATGGATGTTTCTCTCTCATCGATGTTTCTAACTCTGTCTCCCTCTCCCTTCCTCTCTGTAAAAAAAAAAAAAAAAAAAAAAAAAATCAATAAAAATATATTTAAAAAAATAAAATAAAATTCTGGCATACAACAGAAAAGCCAGGTTATCACAAACCCGCAGCGAGCGGGCATTCAAGAAAGCGGGGCGAGTGCCAGACTACATGCACGCCCTCTCGGAAGATGAAGACAGGAAGAGGCCTGGCTGGCAGGCCCCACCGCCATCACCTGAGGCTCTCAGGCGTCTTCAAACTACGGTCCGCGGGCCACATGCGGCCCGCAGAGGAGTCTGATCCGGCCCGCCAGGTTTTTTGGGCAGTGAGTGCAGCCGAGGTGTTACAGTAGGAATTAGTAGTTCATATAGACCGGCCCTCCAGCTCTCTGAGGGACCGTGATCTGGCCCCCACTTTAAAAAGTTTGAGGACCCCTGCAGGGTCCCCCCTCTCTGCAGAGCAGGGCCTGGGGCAGGCGGGGCTGGGACTGTCGGGTGGGGGCTTGGGAGCAATGGCCTGCAGTGGCCAGGAGGGTGCGTCGGCTGCCTCGGGGCCAGAGCTCAGGGAAGTGCACGTGGGCAGGATGCCAGCCGCTGGTGGGGCGGCTGCCTGGCTGAGCAGTCCTCTCCGTTACCCCCCTGCCCTCCCCCGCGCCAGGCTCTCCACAGAGGAGGGGCCTGCCCTCCCTGGTCTCTCTGCCCCGCAGCGTCCATGGAGGGGCCGGGGCCCGTGCTGGACACCGGGAGCCCACGGTGGGGCAGACTGGAAGCCGGGGGGTAGTCAGGATGCATTTGGGCCTGGAAGCTACCTGCTGGGAGGGACCCCAGCCTATGCGGTGAAGTAGGGGAGGTGCCAGGCAGAGGGGCGGCTCTGCTTCATGGAGTTCGGGACGGGTGGGTGGAAGAGGGCAGGGAGGGCGGTGTGGCCGAGGAGGGTGGATTCCTTGCCAGGAGAGGGAGCACCTCAGAGGGAGGACAGACCAGCCGGCAGAGGACACCCAGGGGCTGGGACAGAGCAGGTTGCATTGTGGGGAGGGAGGGTGTATGGAAAGGAATAAGACTGCCAGGTCAGCCAGTGTGGTTCAGGGGTTGAGCGTTGACCTATGAATCTGGAGGTCACGGTTCAATTCCCAGTCAGGGCGTAGGCCTGCTTGTGGGCTTGATCCCCAGAAGGGGGCATGTAGGAGGCAGCCAATCAGTGATTCTCTCTCATCATTGATGTTTCTGTCCATCTCTCCCTCTTCTTTCCTCTCTGAAATCAATTTTAAAAATATTTTATTTTTTTATTTATTTTTATTTTTAAAAAAATATATTTTATTGATTTTGTACAGAGAGGAAGGGAGAGAGATAGTTAGAAACATCAATGAGAGAGAGTCATCGATCAGCTGCCTCTTGCACACCCCCCACTGGGGATTTGCCTGCAGCCAAGGCCCTGACCGGAATCGAATCCGGGACCCCTTAGTCCCCAAGCCGATGCTCCATCCATTGAGCCAAACCGGTCTCGGCAATATTTTATTTTTTTAAAAGAAAGGAACAGGACCATGGATAGGACAGAGGAAGTAAGATATAAAACATTTATTGATGTACATTTATTTCATAAAAGTTCCGTTGGCTACACTGGGCCACTGTGCTTCGAGGTGGGCTGGGTGGCCAGGTAGAACCAGTCAGTGCCCACTTCCGGACGGTCTGCAGGCACCCGAGGCCCAGGCGGGCGGCAGCGGGCACGCGCCCTGTGCTCCGAAAGGCTGCCGAGGCTGGCAGGGAGCCAGAAAGGCGGTGACCTCTCTGAGCTGGTGAAGGCCCTCCTGTCCCCCCCTGGCTGCCGGGACCAGAAACACACCGGGCGAACATCACCAAGGGCTCACCCAGGGGGCAGGGACATCACCTGCAGGAAGACTGAGCAGCCGGCTCAGAGAGCTCCCCGTGTCAGGTCTGCCCCCAGCGCTGCCCCCAGGGGGTGGCGTGGCGGGAACAGGTGCCCCGCGGCGGGAGGTGCTGGTGTGGCCCACCGTGTCACTTTCAAACAGGGCATCGCGTTCAGAGGGGCGGCAGGTGGACGGGGCTCGGTGGCCCCCTCCTCTCCTTTCCAGACCAGCCTGGGGTGAGCAGAGTCCCCCATGGGGGGAGGACACTTCCGTCCGGTGGGTGCTGCTCATGCAGGAGAACGCTGGGGAGGGCCTGGCAGGGCCGCCAGGTCTGTGTGCAGGCGGCCGCTCAGCCTCTCGGGCGCTCGCAGAGCCTCCGGCCCCGGGAGAAGGAGGCCCGAGGGGGGCCGGAGGCAGACGTGCCTCCTTGTCCTCGGGCACCAGGGCGGCCGCCCGGGCCCCGTCCCGGCAGAGGGTCTCTGGAGGTCCTTGGGGTCCCCGCCTCCCCTCCGGGTGCCCCTCTCTCAGGAGGCGTTCCCGGCGGGGCCCTGCATCTCCATGGTGACCGTGTTGGGCGTGCCGCCCGTGGCCTCGGCCAGCTCGGCGCCGTCCCGCAGGGCGCGCTGGAAGACCACGCGGAGCGGCTCCCACAGCCGCTGGGACTTGTCCCTCCCGGCCAGGAAGTACACCACGGGCTTGGCGCCGCTGTTGACGCAGATGCACAGGTCGGTGACGTACTCGGGGAAGGGGGCGGGGATGCGGAAGGCCCAGAAGAGGAACCAGTCGATGGCCAGGTAGATGGAGGACACGAGGAAGACGGACACCACGGCCAGGATGACGTGGTTGAGCTTGGAGGAGCGTGGGCGCTGGCGCCGCCGGGCCCGGCACTCCACGTGCAGGATGAGGGCCAGGCAGGGCAGCACCATGAGCGGGCAGAAGACGAGGAAGAGCAGGACGCCCAGGAAGATGTCCATGTGCGTGCAGGCCGCCCGGGAGGCCTGGCGGCCCAGGAACACGCAGAAGTAGTTGTGGACGCCGGTGACCAGGAGCGACAGGGCCCAGAGCAGGGCGCACACCACGGCCGACAGGCGCTTGGGCCGCTGCCGCCAGTACCAGGCGGGGAAGACGACCGACAGGCAGCGCTCGGCGCTGATGGCCGGCAGCAGGCTCACGCCGGCCAGGAAGGTGCAGAGCCCCAGGATGCGGGACGCCGCCCCCACGTACCGGGCGAAGGTGCCGGGGAAGCCGCCCGCGTTCAGCACGGACAGCACGGCCTTGCTGGCCAGGTAGCCCACGTCGGCGCCCGCCAGGTGCAGGAAGTAGATGGAGAAGGGGCTCCGCTTGATGGAGAAGCCGAAGAACCAGAGCACCAGCCCGTTGCCCGCCAGGCCGCACAGGCAGAGCAGCAGGAAGATGTAGTTCACCACGGGCGGCGGTGGCAGCGTGGCGATCTGCTCGATGGTCAGGAAGCCGCGGCTGTGGAACTCGGGGGCCTCGCTCACGCCCGGGCACATCTGCGCGGGCACAGAGGGGGGGGCTCCGTGAGGCCTGCCGGGGGGGCCCCCGCCCCACCCCGCACCCGTGTGTGTCCAGGCGCGCCGGTCCCCTCGGCACAGACCCTCAGCAGAGCGGACGGCACCCCGGAGTCCGCCCAGCGCCTCCACTCTGTGACCCAGAGCCTGGAGCGAGCCGCCTACGGGTGACACCGGGAATGCCCACCCCTCACAAGGGCACCGCGTCGCCCGCCTGCCAGAACAGACACCCGTCAAAACGCGCCCACGCGTGCAAGGTCGAGGGAAGCCGAGGAGCCTTTCTGGACGGAAGGAGAGGAGAGACACCGAGCCAGGGAATGCAGCGCCGGGTCCGAGACTGCGAGGGGTCTGACCCGCGGCCAAGGCTGTCCCTGGGACGGCTGCGGGGAGGTGGGGGCACCCGGCACCCATGACGGCCCTGCACCGCCGGGAGGGTGGGCAGCGCTACATATGGGGGTGCCCTCGACCTTGGGAGAGGCATGCTGTCTGGGGGCACAGGGGCTCGGGGTCTGCAATTCCCATGCACACAGTTCTGTGGGGAAAAGGGTAGCGAGAGAGAGAGGGACAGGGTTAGAGAGAGCGAGCTCAGTGGAGAAAGGCCAGCAGCGACCCGCTGGGGGTGTGTGCTGTGCGCTGTCCTGTTCCCCCAGGCTTTCTGTACGCCTGCACTACTCCACACTAAAATGTGAAAATATTTATTAAAAAATAAAACCACCTGCAAATGACAAAGAGTGGGCCTGGCTCACTGTGGGATCAGAGAGCCTGGGGAGTCAGAGGCGGCCCCTGCTGGGCCGGGGGACCTCTGGGGTCTGGATTGGGGAGGGGGGTCTGGGTCTGGTGTGGGGGTCTCTGAGGCAGCCTGTATTTATCTGGCCCCAGGGAAGCACTTTAACTACGGATCAGGGTTTTCACAGTGGATCTGACTGCTCCTGTGTGTCCAGCGGACCTCAGCCTGGCCGGCAGGTGCGTGAGGCGGGCCCGGTGCGGGAGGCGTGGGGGGCGCGGAGGCACCTGCAGAGCGCCCGCCGAGTGCGTGGGCAGCCGCAGGGCTCCGGCCCATCAGCCTTCCCCGTCGCCAGAGGAGCCAGAGCTCCAGATGGTAATGCGACTCTCCTGACCTCTAAATGCTCACGTTTAACACACACTGTGGGGCCGCACACTACCGGTCTGCACGCCGGATGCAGTTCTCAGGCTGCTGGTTCTGACCTTGACCTTGCCCTCCCGAGGCTTCCCCAGCTCTGTCACTCCGTCCCACACCTGGGCAGGCATCACCAATCCATCTCAGACCCTTCACCACACGGCTGGAACCTGGCCGTGGTCCCTGCCCCATTTCCCCCCCCTCCCCTCTAAGGCCAGGTATCAATTCCCATCACCCATGACTCAGAGAACAAGACAGAAAAACAACAACAAATGGAAGGTCCTTGAGGCAGGACCTTTCTGCCACCTTCCGGATGGCCCGACTCAGGCAGGAAGCGGGGCCTGGAGGATTGCTCTCTGGGCCTGACACCCCGCAACAAAGTCAGGTCGAGGAGAATCTACAAACAGGGACTGGAGGGTGTTGGCCAAACTTTAGGGAGCGTTCGCGAGGTCACTGTAAGCGGGTCCTGTTCTCCACCTGCCTCCCTATGAATACATTTATGGCTCAACAGCCGCCTGTCAGCCCCCAAGCCCCGAGCTTGCTCTTTAGTCAGCCTTTCCTGCTGATGGCCTTGACCACGCCAGGCCCCCAAGTAGCCTCCTGCCAGCCTCCTCTGAGCTGGGGACGGAGCTAGTCATTCCTGAGGCCGGGGCCTGAACAAGGCTGTGGAGGACCGGCCTGGTCACCGGGAGGGGACTGGCTGCAGGGGCTGGTTGGACGGAGCGGATCACAGGCTGGAAAAAGCCTGCAATCTGGTCCTGGAGTCAGAGCGGGAGGCCCGGGTGAGTCACTGGGCGGGAGCTGCCATCCCCAGACACATGCCGCCTGCAAAATGCCCGCCCTGGAGCCTGGCCCCTGCCCTGCCCCGCCCCGCCTTGGCCAGGGGTTCCTGGAGGCTCCGCCCAGCCAGTCCCATCTCTGCTCCCCTGAGGCTGCCGCTCCACACTGTCCTGCCAGAGAGGGAAATGCCAGGGGATGGAGGTCAGGGCGCTGGGCAGGCGGTCCGGCTCTGCCCCCTCCCCGGGCTTGCCCCGCCGAGCCACTGCGCTAGTGGGAGCCTGTCTCCTCCTCTGACTTGGAGTTTCTCCCACTGTGAGCCTGTCTCCTCCTCTGACTCGGAGTTTCTCCCACCGCGAGCGCGTGTCGCCTGGATCAGAAGGAAATCCCATGTTGGGAAGAAGGGTCCTGGGTGGGGTGGGGGCTGTGGTGTCTGAAGACAGGAGGCAGGTGTGACTGAGACCCCGGCCGTGGGTGACACGAGTGGGGTGACTCGGAGCAGGCAGCGCTCCTTGGAGCCGGCCTTCCGGGGAGGCCGTGGGAAGTGGCCTCCTCCCGTCTCTGCAGGGAGGAGCTGGAAGCAGTCTCTGCGTTGGTAACTGAAGCCCCCTGGGATTCAAGGGGGTCAGTCCCGTGAGTGGGCCTCACTGAGGACCACCCCGGGGATCCGAGGGACCCGGTGGCCAGTGCCAGCCTGTGTGGCCCGAGGGGCCCTGCTGCCCGCCTGCAGCCTGTGGAGCAGGGGGGATGGAGGGGGGGAGCTGTGGGGCGGGCCTGCCCCTTCTCCCCCCCCCCCCCACACACAGGTCCTGCATACCCACGGGGGCACTTGCCTTGTTCCTGCTGGTGGGATGGGCCTCCCAGGAGCAGTTGGCAGCCATCTCCGGGCCTGGGGCGTGCAGCTTCCTCGCTGCTCTGCTCACAGCTCACGGGCCGGCACCCCCCACCTGCGGAGGCAGGAAGGGCCGTCAGGGCAGCAGTAGGCTCTGTCCCTTCCAGGGCCCCGTCCCCAGGGCCTCCCCTTAGAGGAGGGGTGACCAGCAGTCACCTGGCTTCCTGAGAGGCAGGGCCATGGGGGCGGCCAGAGCAGCCACCTCCTCCTGCCTGGGCCCCTCGCTCACACCATGCTGACACGCCAGTGAGACCCACACGTATTTCCTGGGCACCACCTCTGTGCTCAGCCCACGGGGGGACACGGGTTCCCCGAAGTCAGACCCAGAAGGCAGGGAGGCTTCCTGGAGGAGGTGGCCTCTGGCTGGGCCTGTGTCTGTCACATGCTAAGGGGTCTGGTCTTTCCCTTGAAGGGTGGGCCAGCTCGGTCATCCTCAGCATCAATGTCACCACCATCAACCCCTCTGTCAACGGCTGCCAGCTGGGAGCTGAGAACTGTGCCCGCTCAGCCACACCCATTGCCCCTCATCCATCATCCCGTTTGTCTGTTTTCTTTAAAAAAAAAAAAATACCTTTTGCTTTCAGAGAGGAAGGGAGAGGGAGAGAGAGATAGAAACGTCAATAATGCCGAAACCAGTTTGGCTCAGTGGATAGAGCGTCAGTCTGCGGACTGAAAGGTCCTAGGTTTGATTCCGGTCAAGGGCATGTACCTTGGTTGCGGGCACACTCCCAGTAGGGGTTGTGTAAGAGGCAGCTGATTGATGATTCTCTCTCATCAATGTTTCTAACTCTCTATCTCTCTCTCTTCCTCTCTGTGAAAAATCAATAAAATATAAAAAATAAAAAGTAAAAGGAAAAAGAAAGAAAGAAAGAAAGAAAAAAAGGAACGTCAATGATGAGAGTCATTGATCGGCTGCCTCCTGCACGCCTCCCACCAGGGACCTAGCCTGCAACCCAGTCATGTGTCCTTGACTGGAATTGAACCTGGGACCCTTCAGTCCACAGGTCAACGCTCTATCCGCTGAGCCAAACAGACTAGGGCCCGTTTGTCCTTGTGATCAGCTATAAGGCAGGCATTGTCATTCCCCTTGGATGGGGCACAGGGCTCAGGGCACAGGGCACAGGGCACAGGGGGAGGTCGCCTGCCCAGGGGCTCAGGCCACTTCCACTGTGTGCGCTGTGGCGTTGCAGGCTTGTGGCCGGGACTCCAGCGGCCGTGAAGGCAGGAGCCGTTGTGGGGAGCAAGCCGGCAGGGTTCTGCCGTGGCCCTGGCTCCAGGCTGGTGGAGGGGCAGCTGGACTCAGCCAGGCAGGTCTGGGGGGCCTGGTGCGGGGGACAGTCTCGGGAGGGGCCTTCCCTGCCAGAGACAGGTTCACCCAGGCAGGGCCGAGCTCATGGGTCCGCCCGCTCTGGGTCCCCCCCCCCTCCCCCCCCCCGAGGTCTGCCTCCCCAGGCAGGCACCTAGTCCTGCTGTGCAGGGGGGGGGAAACTGAGGCTGAGTACAGAAGAACGGTCTTGCAGGGGCACAGGCGCGGGCAAAGGCCAGGCCTCTCCTCAGCTGGAGGAGGCGCCGGGCAGCCCACACAGCTCTCCTCCCCCAGAATTCCTTCCTCCGCAGGCCGGGCAGCCCCCTCCACGCCCCCGCCAGCCGGGGCGGAGGCCCCCGCAGAGGCCGAGCCCATTATGGCTGGAGAGGGTGGCTGTCTGTGTGGGTGGCCACCCTTCCTTAACCCTCGGTAGCCCTCCCCTCCCCACCCCAGCCCGCGGCGCCAGTGCAGCCCTCGGAGCACCAGGCCAGGCGGCCCCGGACCGCAGCCGGTACCCAGAGAGGTGATTGCGGGGCGGGTGGGAGTCCCGTGGGCGAGTCCCTGATGAGTGTGTGATGTGGGCTTGCAGATGGCAGTGCAAGGTGTGCCTCTTAAACACCCTCCCCCCGCAACCTCCCTGGGTACCGCCTCTCCAGTCTTGACTCTGGCTGGGCCACTGTACCCATCCCCAGGGAGAAGCCTCATGCCTCACCATCTACTGGGTTTGCCCAAGCTCTTCATGCCAGCCTGCAACCCCATCCTACCTGCCCCCCCACTCAGTCTTCCTGACCCAGGTACACCCCCTGCACCATGCCCTCACCTCTCGGTGCCAGGACCCAGGGGTGTCCGGAGGCTGGAGGGCCCTGCCCTCTCACCGGGGCAGGTAAGACCCCAGCTACGCAGGCCCCCAAGGGCAGCTGCTGGGACCTGCACATGGAGCCTGGCTTGGACGGGGCCTGGAGTGGGCCCCCAGCCCCCCTGTGGACAGATGGAGGGGTGGGTCCCCGTGGGGCCTCTGAGCCCTCAGAGAAGAGCTACTCCACTCACACAGGCACCAGAAGCCAAGTGGACCCAGATGGACCCTAGAAAGACATGTGTGTGTCATGTGCATCGGACATGCGTGAGTGCGTGTGAATGTGTGTGCTCCTCAGGTTGGGTTGGGCCTACAAGAGCTAAGCAGACAGAAAAAGCTTAAAAAAAAAAAAAAAAAAAAAAAAAGCTGCCAGCTCCGCGCACTCCCGCCCTGCTTTCAAAACCCAGCACCTAAGGAGAGGCCGCTGGCCACCTGACTCTCCTCCGCCTCAGGAAGCTCTCATCTCCTCCCTCCCCCACCCCCCACCCCCAGCCTCGAACCCGTGCGGGCCCCGGGGGACTGTCCTCCAGGAGGCCCGGCTGGGACACGGTTCTCCAGCCGGCCTGCCAGCCCCCCTCCTGTCCCCAGACCGCCACCTGGGCAGGACGAGAGCACGGGAGCCACTCCCCCAGACGTACCGCCTCTTCTCTCTCCAGCCTCTTCTCTCTCCAGCCTCTTCTCTCTCCAGCCTCTCCCCCTCAACACCCCCCCCCCCCAACACACACCCTGACAATCCTCTGCTCACAATGCCTGTTGAAAGGCTTACTGGGGGAGTGATACCTTCCAGAAAATCCCACCAACAGCCTCCATCCAATGCCAACTCCACATCAGGTGTCTCAGGCCTGGGAAGGGGGCACCCAGCTGTGCACCCCCCTGTGGCTGCCAGGCTGGGCCCTCTGTCCACCCCAGCGCTGGCCCCACACTGAGCTGCCTGAGCTGGTGCCCAGGGAAGGAGGCGGCGCAGAGCGGGGTATGCGGAGCGCGGAGTGCGTGCGAGCAGGGAGCCCTCTCCCCGAGCTTGGGATGCTGCCCGCTGGGTGTTCCCGCCCCGCCCTTCCAGTTGGCCAGCTGCTGCCGAGGGTGGTGGAGGGACAGAGGGGGAGCCCACACCCACTGGCGGACAGAGCAGGGCCTGGGGCTGGAGGACAGCTTGGGAGGCGGGAGTTGCCAGAACACCAGGGCCAGCCCCACCGAGGGGGGACTCCCGAAGGTCCCCAGTGTCCCCCGGACTTCTGCAGCCTCGCAGGCTGCTGGGTCGGTGACAGCCTCTCTGGGGTCTCAGGGCTCTCCATGGGGCTGTGGTTTCTGGGAGGTGCCTGCCCCAAAGTGCTCACCTCATCCCCCTCCCTGCTTGACCTTCGCCCTGCAGCCTGGTTCCTGGCGCCCCTCCCCTGGGCCCCGTGGAGCTACCTGCAGCTGTCCCGGTCCTCCAGGAGGGCGCGTGGGTGATGCCCGCCTCCGGCTGCGATCCCCGAGGCAGCAGGCCAGTGTGGAACAGGGCTGGAGCCTCAGCAAACGAGAGAGGAGAGAGGAGAGAGGAGAGAGCCGAGTGTGCAGAGCCCGCGCCTGCTGCTGGGGAGATGGCTTTGGAAGCAGAACCCGCCCCAAACCCAATTCCAGGCCCGGCAGGAGGGGAGGGAGGGAGGGGGAGGAGGAGGGGCGGAGCGGGATGAGGCTTGGGGAAGGAATGCCCTGCTCAGGAGCCCCCCCCCCCCCCGCGCCCGCCCCCCCAGAGCCCCACTGGGAACTCATCTCTCTGCCTGGTGACGTCAAGTTGGCCCGAGCACTGTGGCCAGAGTCCAGCTGTTAATCTCCCGCGCGTCCCGGAGAGAGAGGCGTCCGCCGTCCACTTGCGGGTGCCTTCTCTCGGCGGCTCCCACGGGGCCTTTCGGGGGGCACAGGTCCAGGAGGGGGACCCCCAGGGATTGTTCCGATGAACTGAGGGGCGGTTAGGAGAAGCCGGGAGACGGCGGGCGAGGGCTCTGCGGAGGGGGAGGTGTGGGCGGGTGAGAGGTGGACTTGGCAGTGGACAGGGAGGCCACCCAGGTGGCACGCCACTTCCCCCGCCCACCCCGGAATCTGTCCGGGGGCCCCCACGGGCCCTTGGAACCAGGAATTCCCTGTGCTCGGCCCTAATGGCAATCAGATGGCCCAAGTGGAAAATCACTGCGCTGGCTCGCCGGGGCCGAGCCGGGAGCTGGCGGCTGCGGGGGCCTGGTGTGTGCGCTGTCCACGGGCGGATGAGTCAACCGCTACTCCCCCCACCGGCACCATGGAGTCCTGGGCCCCCCAGTCAGAGCCTGGGGGTGCAGGCGCCCCGGAGGTGGCATGAGGATGGGGGCAGGGAGGAGTGACTTCCTGGGGAAGGCCCCTCCTGTCCTAGTCCAGCTTTCTCATGGCCGGGGAGCCTGAGGGAACTCCACTAGCGTTTTCCCCGACGGGAGCATGCGGCGCCCCGTGTGTGGGTGCCTCTGTGGGCATCTTGAAGGAGCCTGGAAGGAGAGCTCCCCCTGCACCTGCCCTGGGGCGGCGGGCCTCTGCCCGGAGGAACCGTGTCCTGCCCCCGTGCAGACCGCCACGGGAGGAGGGGGTGGACTGCTCCCTGCGAGCCCAGCTGGCCTGGGGCGGGGCAGGCGGAGGCTGCAGGATGCTGAAGCTCAGGCCGCGCCTGGGCTGAGAGGCTGGGCGGGCAGCAGGCAGCGGGGACCCCCTCCCTCCCTCCCCAGGGCAGGCCAGCTGGGGCCCAGCTGGGCCACTTGTTTATGAGGGGAGGCCCAGGGGAGGCGGGGGAGGCTGGAGGAGGCCTTGTCCAGGCGAGTTCCGAGGGTAATTGCATTTGGACACTTAAAAGGAGCTGTGTGAGGTGGCGGTGGCTCCGAGGTCCACCGCCTTATTTGGTGTGGAAATTGGCCTCCTCTGGAGCTAAGGAGAGGTGCTGGGGAGCGGGGAGGCCATCCTCCGCCCGGGTTTGCGGCTGTTGCCCCGGAGGCTGGGCTCCGGCAGGGACCGTGGAGCAGGCCTGCGGGCTGGCACGTGGGCTCCTGTGGCTGCTGCAGTCGCGGGCGGTCCCGGGCCTCGGGTCCTCTCCTGTCACGGGAGGAGAAGCAGCTCACAGATTTGCAACGAGGAAGGAAGGGGTAAGATCCAGGCGGCAAAGCGCTGGGGGCACCTCAGAAAGCCTCTGCTCAGAAACTTCGTTTTTTTATTTCTTATTCATTTATATTTTTAAAAATATATATTTTATTGATTTTTTTTTTTACAGAGAGGAAGGGAGAGGAGGAAGGGAGAGGGATAGAGAGCTAGAAACATCGATGAGAGAGAAACATCGACCACCTGCCTCCTGCACACCCATTACTGGAGATGTGCCTGCAACCAAGGTACATGCCCTTGACCGGAATCGAACCCGGGACCTTTCAGTCCACAGACTGACGCTCTATCCACTGAGCCAAACCGGTTTCGGCAGGGACTTTGTTTTTAATCGCCCCCCACACGGGCCTCACAGGTGGACTCTGTGGTTCCACAGCCATGACCCCTCAGGCCAGGACCCTCCTCTGATGGGGCTCCTGGGGGGGAGGTTCTGGGCAGGGCTGCCTGCTGCCTCGGCTGCCCTCTCACACCGTGGATGCCAGAACACCCGTGGGTGCCAGGCACCGTGCTCCAGGCTGATGAACCCGCTGAGGGCGAGCGAGCGGAGAGGCAGACCAGAGCCAGGCAATCCGAACACGTGTGAAACCGCACTGAACGGACAGCACTGCGGCCGGCTGGGCCCCGGAGACCAGGATGGGTCTCTGAGGAGGTGATCACGGAGCCCACGAGGAGCGCTGGGCAGGAGGGACGCAGGTGAGCAGGGGAAGGAGGGCACCCCGCAGAGGAAGTGGTGTGAGCAGAGGCCCTTGGGCGGGAAGGCATGTGCACGTGCGAACGGGGGCTGCATGAGGCTGAGGGACGCATACAGGGTCTCGGTGGATGAGGTGCCCAAGCTGGGCCTCTCTGACCAGCTCACCAGGTCCAAGGTCTCACCCTCCTTACTGTGTTCTCACCTCTCTGCCGCCATTGGTCCCATCTGTCGGGGGACAGGTGCAGGGAGGGCAGGCACTCACTGTGTCCTGCGAAGCAGAGCCTGTATAAATGGGACCTCTTAATCCTCTCAACAGCCCCCTCCCTTCCGCCTCCCAAGTTTACAGATTCATCTAGTATGTGTTTACTGAGCATCTAGTGTTATGCCCAGATTTCAAGATCCCCAAGGACCACCAGGGAGCCGAGTCTGATGCAAAAGCAAAGAGCCTTTATTAGCCGGCTGGGCGAGCGACTAGCCGAGCGACTAGCCGAGCGACTGCCATTCTCCACGCAGGGAGACCAGAGAGCAGCAGTGACCCTTTGTGTAGGACCACTTTTAATCCCCTTAACCACATCCTGTTCATGCAAAGCAAGCAACCTTAGACAAAACCGTTTTCCCCAAGCAATGTCAGAGTCAGGCCATTGATGACCATGTTGTTCACAGGGTCATCCTGTTCTTCAGAAAGCTGACAGTGATCTGTGAAAGAAGGCCTACATGCTGGGAAAGGGCCATGAGACCCTGTCTCAAGGCCTGGCCTGGTGTCAGCACTGACAGCTCTATCTGGGGCATAGTCCACAGCCTCTCTGGAAGCATGCTAAAAAATTCCCACTCTTCAACACTAGTATGTGCCAGGCACTGTTTTAGGCCCTCGGAACCTTGTGGTGAACGAAACGGATGAAGATGAGGCCCACATTCTGGAAATGGGGAAACGGAAACCAGGGAGTAACTGTGTGTCCGTAGCACCTGCGTTCAGGGGCTGGGACCTGTCCGTGTCCACATCTCGGTGCTGGGCTTGGAGGCGTCAGGATGTGGGGAGAACTCTGGACCCTGGGATCCAGCCTGGCTCTGCCTCTGGCAAACAGCGGGAACCTGAGCCTTGGTTTTCCCCAGCTGCGCCATGGAGAGGGTGTGGGATCTGATGATACTTGTGCTCCATGCCCGGCCTCACTTTCCACATTAGCGCCAACAGGCTGGCTCTTCTTTTTCCTCAGGAGGAGACAAGGCAAATGTGTGTGTGGCCTGGGTCTCCCAGGTCCATGCCTGAGGCCCTTTGGCTTCCACCCTTGAGATAAAAAGGTCTCTCCAAGGTCTAGCTAGCTTTCCTGATGGGAGGCGAGTGGGACCCTCTTCTCTTTCCTCTGCTCTAGTAAGGCTGGAGCGTTTGTGAGAGAAGCTGCATCGTGGGACTCTTTGCAGAAGCTTACATTTTCCTCTGTCCCTGATGTGGAAGACTGTTCATTTGTTCATCCATTCGACGTTCATCTGTTATCTCTAGAACTACAGGAGAATACAAGTGTGTTGTTTTAAGCCACTAAGTTTGTGTCTATACTATATAATAAAAGTCTAATATGCTAAGTGTCCAGTTGTCTGGTCGGCTGTTCAACCAATCAAAGCGTAATATGCTAATGATATGCTAAGGCCACTCAACTGCTTGCTATGATGTGTACTGACCACCAGGGGGCAGACGCTCTGACCAGTAGGTTAGCTTGCTGCTGGGATCCAGTTGATTGAGACTGAGCAAAACCGACTGGACACACCATGGAACCCTCCTGCAGTCCCTCCCTGGCTGGCCAACCTGATGCATTCCTTCTCGGCCCCAATTGTGCACCAGTGGGATCCCTTGGCCTGGCCTGTGCCTTCTCACAATCCGAGCTGTGGGACCCTCCCCTCCCCAAGTGCACAAATTCATGCACCAGGCCTCTAGTTTGTTATAGCAGCAATAAGAAACTCATCCAGGATGGCAGGTAGGCCTATTGATTGAGGGTGGGCTAGAGGCTGTTTCTGCTTGAGCTGAGACCGGAAAGGGAGAAGGAGAAGGAGCCAGGTACTCACTGAGCCCACAGGAAAGCATTCCAGGATTGACAGCAGCAGGTGCAAAAGTCCTGAGGCAGGAAAAATCTGTCTATCTCTATTTTTTAGAGAATTGTGTGAGTGAATTAGGGTCCAGACAAGGTTCATTGCTAGATATGCTTCTTCCCCCTTATTTTAATCTAGGGTTCCCCTGCAGCATCCCTCCCTCCCCGTTTCCTTATTTCCCTTCTCCCTCCCTCCCTGTCCTCTAGCTGGATCAGGAAAATAAGGAGTTTCATAGAGGAGCGTGTATGGGCTGGGCCACGGAAATCGGATAGGAGAGCTGGTCACTAACCAGCCTGGAGCCAGGTAGCGGCACAGGAGCTGCAGAAGCCGAGGAGGCTGCCCCCTCTGGCTGTCGGAGCCCGAAGCAGGAGCTCCCGGAGACGTCTGCAGAGCCATGGCCTCCACTTTGCTCCACCTCCCAGGCCTCCCAGGAGCCCTCCTCGCAGGCAAGCTCTGACCCAGTGCCGCTCCTGGAGGGGAAGCAGGAAAGCCGTTTTCAGCCGCAGGAAGACACGACGGGGGCAGACAGCCTAGCACAGTCCACCCCTTTGTGGCTGTGCTGTGCACGCACCACCGCCCCTTCCACCACAGTGAACTTGGGTGGGGAGAGGCTCATCATTTACTTGGGTGATGACCTGGGAAACATGCGGAAGTGAGGCAGGGGAGGAGGAGGAGGAGAAGTCACCCCTGCCTTGCTTTGATGGGCCTCGTCTTCAGCTCACCGTCGCCCCAGCCTCCTTCCGTAGGTTATTGTGACACCTACCCAGGGGTCCCCGGTGAGGGGAAGAGACAGGCAGCCAGGGCGGCGGTCAGACCCTCCCGGGGACTGGTGCCAACAACTCCTGACTTGCGGGGAATGGGAGGGAGGGAGGGAGACCAGGGATGATCCTGCAGTAAATCCTGAGATCATGTTGTGCAGCTCTGTCCGGGCCGGCCGCTGGAGCACACGCGTGCAAATACAACGAAAACCCGCCTTGACCCTGGTCCTGATTAGCTTCAGCTTTCCGTGGGCCGAGTGCAGAATGGCAGGGCTGT